GATCCCACCGATCAGCTGTTTCCTTTCAACACTCCCTTCCCTTTTGTTTGTCTTAGTGTCCTTTCCTTTGCTGGACCAGTTTTTTCCTCCTCCTTTTCTTCTCATTTCTCTCCTTATTGCTTTAGTCTTCCTGTTTCCCCCCTTTGCAAGTTTGCTGTCTTTACCTCCCCCCTCCCAGGCAGCCTCCTTTATCTCTAGCGTCCCTTATCTCTCTCCCCAAACGATCAGCGGCTTTGTTTCCACACCCACTTCCCTCTTTCAAAAAAAAAAGAGCATGATCTGCTTTTTGCCCCTGGGCAATTCAGCTCCAGGGACCACGCATTTGCTCCATAAGACGCACAGACATTTCCCCTTACTTTTTAGGAAGAAAAAAATACGGTAACTGTTGCTGCAGCAGAAAAGCAGCTGTGGATTGATTGATTGATTGATTGATTGATTGCATTCATATTATTCCCTTTTTCTCCAAGGACTTCAAAGTGGTTCTTCCTCTCCTCATTTAATCCCCACGACAAGCCTGTGAGGTAGGTTAGGCTGAAAGTGAGTGGCTGGCCCAACGTCGCCCAGTGAGCTTCATGGCTGAATGGCGATTATGAATCTCTGTTTCCCAGTCTGACACTCTAACCCAGCTTTTCTCAACTTTGGGTTTCCAGGTGTTCTTGAACTACATTTCCCATCAGTTCCTGACCGCTGGCCATACTGGCTAGGAATGATGGGAGTTATAGTCCAACAACCTCTAGGGATCAAAGGTTGAGAAAGTCTGCTCTAACCACTACATCACACAGTCCTCCTCCCTACTACTGCAGGTGGGAGAGAAAGCTGTCAAAAGGAAGGAGGGAGGGAGAATGAAGAAGCCACAGCTGCCTTGCCTCCCAGTTGTTAACAGAAAAACCTGAGGGCTCCCTTGGACAAAAACAAAGACACCAACCAGGATAACTTGGAGCAAAACAGCAGCCTGTAGGCTTGGCCTTTATTGAATACTGTCGCAACAGGACTCCCACCCGCAACAAGATGAAGCAAAATGGAAGTCCAGAACAAAAGAAGACCCCAACTTTTATTAGTTACTAATCCCCCAAACTACACCCCTAAGACTACATCCCAACTACATCACAACTACATCACAAAAAAAGGAGGGGTTGAGGGAGGAGTTGTGGAGGTAACCTGAGTATCTTGTCACCTGGCTGGTTCCTCCTTTCCCCCTCCCCATGAGTCACTTCCAGAGAACAAAGGGGAGTTGGCAGTTTCCTGCCCCCAGAGGGAAGATCTGATCATTGTCCTTTGTTCCAGTCCATGTTGAATCCACTCCCATATGCAAGTCCTTTGTGACCTTGATGGTCTTCTGTCTGGGACCATCAAGGTTGTCATGCCAACTGGGTAGGGCTCCTGTGTATGTGCTGGTATGGTTAAGGGATTATGGCTGTCCTGTATCAAACCATCCCCCTTTGATAGTCCTTCCTTCATGGAGTAAAATAAAAGTGGACCGGTGTAAATCCGATGTATGGTTGATTTACTATGAATTTATAACAGAAACGTTGCGTATGTCGTGTGTGTGTGTGTGTGTGTGTGTGTGTGTGTGTGTGTCGTGTTTGTACAAACTGAATAATTGGGGGGGGGGGGGTCCCTGCAACACAGTTCAGTGGTGGATTCCAAAGAATACATTCATTAATTTTTATTCAAAGTACAATTACAAATGTACTATGCCCCGATGCACCTAGAGGACACTACGACATGGAAGGAAGAAGGTTTCTGCACACATTGCTGGCTGAAGGGCTGAGTATCTTGATGATGTGCTTTTGCATGCTGTTCCCCTCCCTGGTCCAGCTGCCAGACCTGAGCTTTAGGTCCTTAAAACCTAAAAATCATGGTGGTTGACTACTTGGAAGGGGGAGCAGGGCTGTTTGGAAGGGGCTACATTTAGATCTCACATCACTCCAGTTTGTTTCTGGACCCAATTCAATGGGGTTAATGTTCAAAGCCCTAAACGACTCAGACCCCCAATACCTGAAAGAGCACCTCCTTCCCCACAGACCCTCTCAGGTGTTAAGCTCAGCCCTGGGGCAGAGGACTTTTGGTAGCTCCACCACCCTCAGAAGTTCAAAAGGCAAATGCCTGCCATGCCTATTTTAAGACCCATCCTATTTTGGTGATGCTTTTGAATTCTGGTGTTGGAGGAGACTCTTGAGAGTCCCATGGACTGCAAGAAGATCAAACCGATCCATTCTGAAGGAAATCAGCCCTGAGTGCTCACTGGAAGGACAGATCGTGAAGCTGAGGCTCCAATACTTTGGCCACCTCATGAGAAGAGAAGACTCCCTGGAAAAGACCCTGATGTTGGGAAAGATGGAGGGCACAAGAAGGAGATGACAGAGGACGAGATGGTTGGACAGTGTTCTCGAAGCTACCAGCATGAGTTTGACCAAACTGCGGGAGGCAGTGGAAGACAGGAGTGCTGGCGTGCTCTGGTCCATGGGGTCACGAAGAGCCGGACACAATTAAACAACAACATTTGGGTGATCATAAGTTGCCCTGAATGCCGCGTTTTAAATTGTTCTGGTGGAGACGCATCGTGCTTCTTCTGGGAGAGTTTGTGTACCTTTGGTCCCCACCCTGCACCCGTCTCTCACCTGTGGCACCTAGAAGCTGTCCACATGGGACATCCTGTGGAACGGCTTCCACTGGCCACCAAAACCAGCTGAGAGTAGCGAATGAGTTGCATGCAAAGACAGGCTCTGGTGGATTGAGTGGACGAGACCAAGAGTGGGACCAATGGTCAAGGCGGCCTTTTCAGCACATGCTTTTAGACCAGGCATCCCCAACCTGCGGCCCTCCAGATGTTTTGGCCTACAACTCCCATGATCCCTAGCTAACAGGACCAGTGGTCAGGGGTGATGGGAATTGTAGTCCAAAACATCTGGAGGGCCGAAGGTCAGGGATGCCTGTTTTAGACGGAAGTGAGGGGCGGATGGAGCTCATACATCTGGGAAGGCAAACCATCTAGGAGAGGGTAAACTCTGGTCCTAAACCTCCACTGCCTTGTGAAGTCCTGGCGGAGAATGTTGGGACCGGGGGCAAGACGGTGGGGTGGGAGCAGGAACAAGAATCCAGAAGCCAGGAGTCAGGAAGCCAAGGGTCCGAGGGTCAGGAAACCAGGACTCAAGAAGCCAAACGCAGCAAGGCAGGAAGCGTGTTGCTGTGGCCAAGAGCCAAAGGGAAATGCTGACCTTATATCCCTTCCCGGCTTTGCTACCAGGTGCTGTGAGTTACCAATCGGCCTCACCTGTACGGCCGTGCCTTGCCTCTTCAGAACAAACTTAGGAAAGCCCCAGTCCTGTGAAGCCTTACCGGTCACAGGGCCTGGCTCCTTCACCCACTCCTGACAGATATCTCCGGGAGAAGAAAAGGAGTAGGCCCTACACAAATCCAGAGTGAAGTCCCTAAGACGGTTGGATGGCACCTTGCGTGCCTCCTTCTGGCAACTCCTGCAGCCTAGCTGATGCCAAGCATATTGCTCTGCTTTCCTTTGGACCACATCAGCGAGGCTGAGAGTGGCGGGTCCGGTTGTCTGAGCAGCCCAAGACCCCCAGACACACTGCCCAGTCTTGCACCCCAGGGAGGTAACTTCAGTGCTGCTAGTGCAGCAAAAAACAACACAAGAGGCAGCAGTTACAAATTACCAGTTTCTGCAGCCACAGTTTAGGACCTTAGGGCATAGTTGTCAACCGTCCCTTATTTGGCAGGAAACTCCCTTATCCCAGCGCCGTTTCCCGCTGCTGTCCCTTATTGATGATGTCCCTTAAATTTCCCGGGTTTCAAAGGAAGCAGCTCCTCTCTCTCCCTCCCTTCTGGCCAGGGAGGAGGGAGGCTCCAACTGTGTTGCTTGGCTGCGTTGCTCACCCAATAAGGAGTCTAAGAACGACTGGGGGGTGGAGCTTGCATGCCTTGTGCCGATCAAATCGGCCGCGTTGCCTGGGGACTCGCCTTTGCTCAGCGCTTCCCAGAGGAGAGGTGACGGTGGTTTTCCTTGCTGCATCCCCTTTGCTGGTTTGCTGCGCTGTGGGAACCAGCGCTTGAGGCTTCGTTTGGCTGCTGGCTGGGCTTTCTGCCTTTGCCTCGGAGGGGCTCAGAAGTTAAACATACCTGTCCTTGGAAAATCCCTTATTTTGGCTGCTGGTCCCTTATTTTCGAGGCTGCTGGTCCCTTATTTTCAAATCTGTAAGTTGACAGCTATGCCTTAGGGCAAAGTGTGGGTAATAAATTAAATTAAATTCCCTCACCTTCGCTCCCCTTCTCTGCCAAATAGCTTGTTGACAAAATTTTAAAGACTTTGTACTTGCCGTCTCAACAGCTCCCCTTTGGGTTAAAGTGCTGCAGAATTTCAAGCTGCTAAGTGTATCTTTTATTACTATCTGGCAAACGGGGGAAATAATAATTTGAAACGAGAAAACGTCAATATTCTGGAAAACAAAAGAGGGGTGATGGTATTATATGGGCTTAGAAACAGGATGTAGACCTCGACATTGTCACGGGGAAAGGAAAATGGGAAGGAACATGGTTACAACGCAACGGACATGCTGACAAAACGAAATGTTTCGTAAGACTACTGCCTCAAATTGCCAATATTTCCATGCTCAGCCTCAGGAAGAATGAAGAGACACCGCAAAAAGGCACAATTAGAAGTTCATGAATGCATGTGGATCGGGTGGCCAGTGTCCTAAGCAGATCTAGCATGGACCGTGAGATGCATCAAACTCAAATACTACTAGACACATTTGCAATACCATGGGTGGCCTAAGATAAGCTGTAGCTGTTCCAATTTTTCAGTTTTGGTCTCAGATTCTCTCTCTGTGTGTCTGTCTCTTGAGAGAGAGAAAGGTAGGTGTCAGCTTGGAAGACAACCGTTCGCATACTCAGCCATTTATTTCCAACAAGTGCCGTTCTATGAAATATCCGCAGAGATATTTCCACCGCTTGGTTCAGTTATGAAGGAGAGGTCCTCTGCTCTCCTACCTGCAGCCACATTCTGCTACCTTCATCCCTTCGTACTGGTATTTCAGAGTGGGCGTCCCGGCATCGTCATTGTAGAGCAAGGAAATGGCTTCCAGCTTGGTGGGAACGCAACAAGCCTTGGCTGCTTTCTTGGGGTTCTTGTAGTGAACCAAGGTCTGGATGATAGCGTGTTTGGTCGGGGTGACGTTATCAGTCAAAGGAAAGAAGCAGCCCCCTTTGCACTCAAACGCCTCATAATCCAAGGGTGCAATGATCCAATTCCAGCCAATTTCTTTGAAGTTGACGTGAAGAGATGTTCTCCGACAGTGGTTGCTTTCAACGCTGCGTTTGCTTCTAGATGAAGAACGGTGGAATCCGCTGACAGGCAACGCATTCTGCTTGTGAACAGTGTCGTTCTTAAGCACACTCTCCTGTTCGTGCGCCATCATTTCCTGAAGTTCCCTGTGGTTATCCTTGATTCTGTTGCCATTATCGTTGGAAAACACTATCAGCAAGGGCAAACGGTTGGACTCGGGTGTTAGACTGATACGCGGCTTCCCACAGGGGGGCTCCCTCTGAACATGACTTTCCACGGTGATCTGTAGCTGGCTGGTAGTCCTTGCTTTTTCCGCCTTGACCCATCTTTTCACAGTGCCAGACATATCAAACATCACCCAGCCGCATTCGTGGATTTCTTTGGAGACTAGGAAAGATTGGGCCTCTTTTGGTTTCTCCCAGGGATCCCCTCCTAGACTGCCGTAGATGACCACATTTCCTTGAAGGCGAGAGAAACACTCTGCTTCCTCCTGACAAGCAGTGTGGATCCGAAGCTCAGCTCTGGTGACTTCTTCATGCCATGGGATGGAGACGTTGAAAAGCAAAATGTATTTCTGAGAGGGATCCATTTCCCCGGAGGCAATATCTGTGGGAGAAAATTGATAGGCATTGTTACCATAAGGTAAAGGTAAAGAGACCCCTGACCATTAGGTCCAGTCGTGGCTGACTCTGGGGTTGCGGCGCTCATCTTGCTTTATTGGCTGAGGGAGCCGGCGTACAGCTTCCGGGTCACGTGGCCAGCATGACTAAGCTGCTTATGGAGAACCAGAGCAGCGCACGGAAACGCCGTTTACCTTCCCGCCGGAGTGGTACCTATTTATCTACTTGCACTTTGAGGTGCTTTTGAACTGCTAGGTTGGCAGGAGCAGGGACCGAGCAACGGGAGCTCACCCTGTCGCGGGGATTCGAATTGCCGACCTTCTGATCGGCAAGCCCTAGGCTCTGTGGTTTAACCCACAGCGCCACCTGCATCCCTATTGTTACCATAGCTCTCTGTTATTGCGGGGTGGGAGATATGAAATGTAGGCAACCCAGTCAGTTGGGCGGGGTACAAATTAATATAATATAATATAATATAATATAATATAATATAATATAATATAATATAATATAATATAATATAATATAATATAATATAATATAATATAATATAATAATATAATATAATATAATATCACCACCACCATTATCATCATCATCATTGCTTTTTTCTGGGGGGGGACACAGGGGTACGCATACCCCTAAACATTTTGTGAATCTAAGTTTGGCCTCATTGAGGGGCAGTATTAAAATATGAATAGGAAAATGAAAGTGCCCCTAAACATTTTTTTAGAAAAAAGCACTGTTGTTGTTGTTGTTGTTGTTGTTGTTGTTTTACTATTATTATTAGGAATAGGTCTTAGACCTGCATCTTAATTGATGGCTTGCTGCTGGTGGTGTTACAAGTTCTCATGTAAATCAAAACAGTAGCAAATACTCTGCTTGCAGCCAGTAGACAACATTTTATGGGTGAAATAAGGGGTTCTTTTAATATTTCTAACAGACTTACTATGACAGCGAGGTTCAGTATCTAAAGCCTCCATCTCCTATTGTTGTGGAATGATTTCAGTGCATTAAAAGAAAACTGCCTGGCAAAGAGAGAGAGATCTAGACCCTCCCAGTGTCCCTATTTACAGAAGTCCCGGATTTACAGAAGCCGCCCTGGTTTCTGATTTGATCCTGGAATGTCCCACTTTTCCTTAGGACATCCCTATTTTCACTGGAGAAATGCTGGAAGGTATGGAGTTATGCGGCCCCCGAGCCAAGGAAATAAGTATTTATACAACCTTTAGAAGGCACCTGAAGGCAGCCCTGAATAGGAAAGTTTTTTAAAAAAATGTTTTATTATGTTTTTGTATACAGTGGGCCCTCTAGTTATGTACCACTCTGGTTATGTAACTTTCAGGTTATGAACGCGGCAAGGGCAGAAGCAGCACCTCTGCCTACAGACTTTTCAGGATGCGGACGGACCCCCGGAATGAATTTAATTCATATTTGGAGGGTCCACTGTATGTTGGAAGCTGCCCAGAGTGGCTGGGGCAACTCAGTCAGATGGATGGGGTATAAATATCATAATATCACCATCACCCCTACCACGATTGAATAGGATGTCCCTATTTTCATCAGTGCTGGAGGAGACTCTTGAGAGTCCCATGGACTGCAAGAAGATCAAACCTCTCCATTCTGAAGGAAATCAGCCCTGAGTGCTCACTGGAAGGACAGATCCTGAAGCTGAGGCTCCAATACTTTGGCCACCTCATGAGAAGAGAAGACTCCCTGGAAAAGACCCTGATGTTGGGAAAGATGGAGGGCACAAGGAGAAGGGGTGACAGAGGACGAGATGGTTGGATAGCGTTCTCGAAGGTACCAGCATGAGTTTGACCAAACTGCGGGAGGCAGTGGAAGACAGAAGTGCCTGGCGTGCTCTGGTCCATGGGGTCACGAAGAGTCAGACACCACTAAACGACTAAACAACAACAACAACAACATTTTCATCAGAGAACTGTTGGAGGTTATGGGCTTGTTGTATTTCTCTCAGGATGAATGGGCCCCCCTTACCTGCCCTGAAAGTGGGGAGGGTGTCAATGAAAAAAGCCCAGGCTTTTCCCAAAACATTTGATTGCCTGTTAATTGGGCTGGCAGCAGAATCACCAGCGGTACTAGCAATGGCACCCTCCATTGTGCTTGAGGCAGAAGGGTGATTTTTTTTTTGGTGGGGGGAGAGAACCAGAAGAAGCCATGCAACATACGAAGTGGTGTTCCGCAACAGTGAGGAACACCTTGGGGGTTCAAGAGGAACAGCTGAGGGCTACTGTCACTGCTCTCCAACATCTGCCGCCTGAGACCAATGTCCCACCCTGTCTAATGGTAAGGCCAGCCCTGATCCCAGTTTATACATAAAGGTCTCACGCCGATTTAAAGCATGGATCAGTTTCAGGCACTACATAACCAATTATATATCCTTGCCACTAGCATTTCGTAGCTTATTGGCCAGCTATCTGCCCATAAACAAGCAGCGAAGGACTTCACTGTGACACAAATCAAACACATGCACACTCAGCAGCCAAACTGGATAAAGCCCAAGAAATCACAGGTTGATTTCTCTGCTCCTCCTTCCATTTACCTAGTAATGGCCTCCTTGTGGGACGCTGGTGGCGCTGTGGTCTAAACCACTGAGCCTCTTGGGCTTGCTAATCAGAAGGTTGGTGGTTTGAATCCCCACAACGGGGTGAGCTCCCGTTGCTCTGTCCCTGCTCCTTCCAACCTAGCAGTTCGAAAGCACACCAGTGCAAGTAGATAAATAGGTACTGCTGCGGTGGGAAGGCAAATGGCGTTTCCTTGTGCTCTGGTTTCTGTCACAGTGTGCCGTTGCGCCAGAAGCTGTTTAGTCATGCTGGCCACATGACCCGGAAAAGCTGTCTGTGGACAAACGCCGGCTCCCTCGGCCTGAAAGCGAGATGAGCGCTGCAACCCCACAGTCGCCTTTGACTGGACTTGACTGTCCAGGGGTCCTTTACCTTTACCTAATGGCCTTCTATGAGGACTGCACCACGACATGGCAAGGGATAAGGGGATTAATTCTGGCATGCACTTTGGGGGGCGGGGGAAGAGAGAGTTTCCACTTAACTTTCTGTCCCTTTTGGAGCTCCTCTTTGTAAAGGTCATAAGCGAATAGAATTGCTGAGCACATTTTATCTCATTATTATTATTATTATTATTATTATTATTATTATTATTTTAAATTTATATACTGCCCTTCATCTGAAGATCCCAGGGCGGTTCACAACATAATACAGTGGTACCTCGGGCTAAGTACTTAATTCGTTCCGGAGGTCCGTTCTTAACCTGAAACTGTTCTTAACCTGAAGCACCACTTTAGCTAATGGGGCCTCCTGCTGCTGCTGCCGTGCTGCTGAAGCACGATTTCTGTTCTCATCCTGAAACAAATTTCTTAACCTGAAGCACTATTTCTGGGTTAGAGGAGTCTGTAACCTGAAGCGTATGTAACCTGAAGCGTATGTAACCCGAGGTACCACTGTAATGCAAAACGAGAGCAAACAAAAAATACATAACCAGAACCAAAACAAACCAATAACCTTAACAATCATAATTATTTTGCTATCTGAATTCTATTCCTGGTAGCGTTCCCAGGGGCGCCAGCTTCTCAGGGCAGTTGAGGGGACCCAACGCGATGTGCTGACATCGCATGCAAGGAGTCAGGGAGTGGAGCTGAACATCCTCTGAACATTGAGGAGGCCCTCAAAAAAACAAAAACAAAAAAAAACTGGGGAGGGGGGCAAAGTGCCTTGGCCCCCAGGAACTGGCACCTACAATTGTTCCTGAAATGTGGTCCTAATTACCATTCTTTTAATTAGTTTCACTTTTTAAAAAAGCACCCTAAGGTGTCTTCACATTGGTGCAAAGAGGAAAGCATTTTCGGGTCTCCCTTGAAGCATAGCAAATGAAGATGGGCTCAAAGCTCAGAATGGGGTTGTTGTTGTTTTTTTTAATAGGGCTGTCATATTTCAATAATTGAAAATCTGGACACAAACGTTATTGAGCAAAATGGTTTTTGGCAAAGTTGCTGAGCTTTTATTGGGGGGAGTGCAACACTGTTGAGTTTTTGAGTTTTCCCCAAAATATGCCCCCCCCCCTGCAAAATCTCAAAAATATCTGCTCTTCGACATGGAATTTCCCCGGACATTACAGCCCGGCTGAAATTCGGAATGTGTGGCAATCCGAATTTCTTGAAAACCAGAGCTAATTTTAAAACCCTATTGAAGTATCGTGGTTTGGGCACTGCCAGAAACAGGAACCTTCACTGGGGAGACAATTGACATCAGGAATAAACTCAGAAGGGTTGGCTGGCTGTTCAGTTGGCAGGGGCAGAGTGCCAGAGATGTTTTGACAAACAAGCCCTAAATTACATTATCAGTTTATTGCTGGTATCTGATTTCTTATTGATTTAAAAAGAAAACGACATCTTTCATATTATATAAGGGAATGTGAAGAATGATCAGGCTTGCTGATAGAGCAAGTAACTACAGCTGCAATTTCATAAACACTTTGTGTAAGATCCATTGAACTTAATAGGACTTACTTTTGAGTAGGCACACAAAGGATTCCATTGTAGGATTCCTACCCACTGGGAAAACCAAGCCCACACATTGTGGAAGAAAACCCTCATACCTTCAGGACTGAAGCTACGGACAATGTTGGATATGGGGCTGGAAGACTTGTCCTTGGTATATCGATTGTACAAATCAATCATGAATTGGGGTGGCTCCTCTTTCATCTCCTGTGAAGGTATCTCTGATAAGTTCAAGTTCCTCAGGAAATCAGCTTTCAGATTCTCCAGGAAAGCCTGAAAGTCGAAAGGGACCTCTTCATCCATATTCCCAAGGTCACCAGAGTGTTCGGGAGAGTTTGCTGCGGTGAGTAACCCGCTCCTAACATCCACAGGTTTGCTGTTGGTCAGGTGGACGAAGACGACATTCAGAAGAGCCAAGGCACCAAAACAGTACATTTTGCACGTGTTTTGTTCTCCAGTGGGGGAAAAACCAACAGAGGTCCAGGAACGTCTTGTCCGATTAGAGTCTGAGGAGTGAGTAGGGGAGCAAAACCAAAAGCTAGACGCTTTCTGAAGCTGTGTTGCGGCTGCTCTTTTCCCCAGCCCCAGACCCTTGTGAATTGTCAAGTAGACTGGTCAGACACTTGCCCTTATCTCAGCGATTGATGCTAACATTTCAGTCCCTTATCTATTACGGCTCTTCACTAATGAAGATTCTATAAACATGCGGACAAGCACATATGGCTCATGAAAGCCCACGATGGAATCTATGTTCTCCTTTGGGGGGTCATTGTTGCTTAATGATGTCCCGTTGTCATTTCCTTGCCAGCGACAATATGTATTTTAGGATGCCTAATAGGAGGCTTGGAGGGGAAGGGGAGGGAGGTTTGTAAAGTGTTTTCCTAGATTCCCGCAGCAAAATATTAACACCCCCACTACAGCTCCAAAGTTCCTTAAAATACTTTCCAGACGGCGCCGATGTGCTCTGATGTAAGACACAATCCTATGACGATGCAAATACCCATAAAGGGGACTCATTTATCAGCTAAGCGTTATTGTTTGTACACAGAAGATGATCTGCTTTCTGTCATCTCTCCCCTTCCCCCACCCCCAGGACTGTCAGTTATCACTTGGGTGCATATGATGGCAATTCCCTGGTTTTCTGGTAAGTAACAAACATTATTATTATTGTGCAGTAGCACCTTAGAGACCAACTAAGTTTGTTCTTGGTATAAGCTTTTGTGTGCATGCACACTTCTTCAGATACACGAAAGCTTATACCAAGAAGAAACTTAGTTGGTCTCTAAGGTGCGCGGGTGGCGCTGTGGGTTAAACCACAGAGCCTAGGGCTTGCCGATCAGAAGGTCGGGGTGAGCTCCCATTGCTCAGTCCCTTCTACTGCCAACCTAGTAGTTCGAAAGCACGTCAAGGTGCAAGTAGATAAATAGGTACAGCTCCGGCGGGAAGGTAAACGGTGTTTCCGTACGCTGCTCTGGTTCGCCAGAAGCGGCTTAGTCATGCTGGCCACATGACCCGGAAGCTGTCTGCGGACAAACGCCAGCTCCCTCGGCTTATAGAGCGAGATGAGCGCTGCAACCCCAGAGTCGGCCACGGCTGGACCTAATGGTCAGGGGTCCCTTTACCTTTAAGGTGCTACTGGACAATTTTTTATTGTTTATTTATATTTCGACTACGTCAGACCAACACGGTTACCTACCTGAATCTATTATGATGATGATGATGATGTTGGGAGCTGCCCAGAGTACCTGGGGCAACCCACTCAGATGGGCGGCAATAATAAATAATAAATTGTTATTGTTATGTAGCCTTTTTGCACACAAAGCTTCCTTCCTTAGATATACGGTAATGCGTTCCAACATGAAGCTCTTTATGGGGCTCAGGCAAGCCTCCCAGGGAAGCAAGTTCTATGGCACAGTCACTGGACATTGATTTGTGATGAGAAGAAAACAGTCTGTGCATATTGTTACAAAAGTCGGGTGCCTGCCCCTTTCTCTGCTGAGCGGTGGCCAGAGCCCATGAGGTCCCAGGCAACCCCACAGGGACCTGTGTTCCTTTGGAGAACGGAAGACACGGTTGAGACTGTCACGGCTTTAAGAAATGTGCTTTCTTCACCTATTTACACTTTCATTCTGCATGGAAGGGAGTCCAGATCTTGCAGCAAGGCCATTTCAAGAGGGGCTTGTCCCCCACAGCTGTGCAGAGCTGGAGTCTAAGGCATCTCTCCCAGCCTGCCTTCAGCCAGCCTGCCCAAGATGGATCTCAGCTCTTCTTCCTGCTTCTTCCTCCCACCATCCCTTGCTTCCACACACCCCATCACCTTGCTAACATCTTACTCCCCAAGCCATCCCTCCCCAATGGCCCACCAACCCCTTTTGTCATGTTAACAGGTTTGCTCTTCACTAAACCAGCCAGGCTGGTTTGCATAAGCCAGCCCAGGGATTCCCTGTTAAAATGCATCTCTGGGTTATTTGTGGGGCCTGCCTGGTGTTTTTACATGAGTAGAATGTGTGCTTCTATTTAAAATGCACCTCTGGGTTATTTGTGGGGCATAGGAATTCATTTTTTCTTTCTTTTTCCAAAATATAGTCCGCCCCCCACAAGGTCTGAGGGACAGTGGACTGGCCCCCTGCTGAAAACGTTTGCTGACCTCTGGTTTAAGGGGACCCCACCCAAAAGAATCTATAACAATATGGTGGAATCCTGGTACAATAAGCTCCCACAGTCTGCACAGATAACAGCTAGAATGAGCACTGAAGCCATATCAGGTAGAAGTTAAGTAGTCCTACTCCAGGTTTTGGTGACTTCCAAAGAGTCATATATAATCAAGAACAAAGCACCCTACAACCTTGTGAGCCCTTCTGAGAGTCATTCTTGCTATCATTTTTTACAAAGAGACTTAGAAGCAGGTGTGCCTTACATTTCCTAGGCTTCTAGGAAATGACCACTTCTGTGATCCAACTATTCAGGTTTCTCAACTCATCATATCTCTCATCAGCTAGGTAGAAGAAAGGCTTTGGATGAGTTGTGGGAAGTTGCCCTTGGGGGAGATGGATGGAGCTGTCTGTGAGATGCCCACACTTCATGTTTCCTTTGCACCACCGAGGCATTGCTTTTATAAAAGATAAGGTCAAGTTTTCCTGAGCGTGTACCTAGGACCTTCCGCAACAAAACAAAACAAAAACAGTTTGCCTGTCAACCGAGGAACAAGTTAAAGTTAAGGGAAACTAAGGGGGGGGGACCCCTGACCATTAGGTCCAGTCGTGGCCAACTCTGGCGTTGCGGCGCTCATCTCGCTTTATGGGCCGAGGGAGTCGGCGTACAGCTTCCGGGTCATATGGCCAGCATGACTAAACTGCTTCTGGTGAACCAGAGCAGCGCACGGAAACACCGTTTACCTTCCCACCGGAGTGGTACCTATTTATCTACTTGCACTTTGACGTGCTTTCGAACTGCTAGGTTGGCAGGAGCAGGGACTGAGCAACGGGAGCTCACCCCATCGCAGGGATTCGAACCGCCAACCTTCTGATCGTCAAGTCCTAGGCTCTGTGGTTTAACCCATAGCGCCACCCGCGTCCCAAGGGAAACTAGAAGTACCTACAAAACAAATTTAAAATACTTGGTGAAGGGGCCATAGGAAAGGTGATAAAACTGATTAAGGTCCATTTGCTTGTGTCAGGGCTGTCTTTAGCATATGCGCCGCCAGGGTGCAAAGATCCGCCCAGCGCCCCCAAATTTAGTTTAGCCCCCAAATTAACTTTTGTTGACCTTTTTTGGGGGGGGGGCAAACTCAAAGTTGTTGAGCTTTCTTTGGGAGGGGAAATTGCTCATCTGTAGTAACGAAGCAGTGGAAAAAACTGCTACGGAGTAACAGAGCGACGGGGTGTGAAAGAGACTTCCACTCCATTGCTTTTCACTGCTGCCAATAGAGAGGGACCGGTATACAGTAGGTATACATTTGGCGCCCCCCAGAATTCAGCGCCCGGGTGCCCTGCACCCCATGACCCCTAGAATAATTGGGTGCACGCTCCCTACTTTGGATCAAATCTATGCTTCCAGAGATAGTGCAGGATAGTGCGCACCCCGGAAATGATCTCTTTCAGCTTTTGCCTTCTGGAAGAAGGTACAGGGTTATAAAGACTAGGACTAGCCGCCTGAGAAACAGTTTATATTCAAATGTGATTTTGGCTTTTAAACACGGTGTAAGGTAGTCTCTATGGGAGTATATTGTATTTAATTACAGGGTATCAGAGTTTTTAGGGGTCTAACCAGGCTGGGATAGCAGGCTTGTTGGTTTCTGAATGTCTGATGTAGATTTTCAGTTTTGTTATGGGACAATGACAATAAAGATTATCGTATCATATTGTATCGTATCGTATCGTATTGTATCGTAAAGACAGCCCTGGCTTGTGTGCTTTGTGTGTACTCACTTGGCTGGCCTCATCCAAGAGCCCTGGGTTTCATTCGACAGCTCCCAGACCAAATAAGGCCTACTCAGCCTTTTGGAAACATCTAAACCTCTGCTTAAGATGATCAAACCTCTCCATTCTTAAGGAAATCAGCCCTGAGTCCTCACTGGAAGGACAGATCCTGAAGCTGAGGCTCCAATACTTTGGCCACCTCATGAGAAGACAAGACTCCCTGGAAAAGACCCTGATGTTGGGAAAGATGGAGGGCACAAGGAGAAGGGGACGACAGAGGACAAGATGGTTGGATAGTGTTCTTGAAGCTACCAGCATGAGTTTGACCAAACTGCGGGAGGCAGTGGAAGACAGGGGTGCCTGGCGTGCTCTGGTCCAGGGGGGCACGAAGAGTCGGACACGACTAAACAACAACAACAACAAACCTCTGCTTTCCTCCGTGTACTGAAGCTAAGATATGAACCCTTTCAAAATCTGGAGGAGACCTCATTCGGATGATTGAATCCTGTCACCTCTGCTGTTTGTTTGAAAGCTAAAAGAGACTCAGTGCCTCTCTGGCCGCATTTAGCGTTGCCACCTCCTGACCTGAGTGGAGAGCTGTGGCAGAGAGCCCTGCCATATGCAGTAATCCAGGTTTTTCAACACATGACTGGATGGAAGGAGGAATGTCTCCTTCTGTTCCCATTCTTTAAGAAGGGGGTTCCTCACGCAGGTGTGTGATATTAATTGGGAAATAATGATTCCCCACGCATAAGGCTTTTCCACATTTCCTTTGGCTAATCTAACATTCTACCTATCTAGGCACATATATCTCCGTGAGTTCAACTTCTTAGTATAAATTCTGCATGAATGGACCAGATTCTTCATGGAAATATTGTGTTTGTGTACGTACGCAAGTGAAGATGTGTCCGTTTCTTATCCCGGAAACACAGTTTCCCTTTAAAAATTCTTAGGAGGTTGAGCTTTGGGGGGGTGATGCTAAATATAGAAGAATATGGTAAACATTATCTCTGTTAT